ACTGATTTGGCCTTCACTGTGACCACCGGTCAGTATTGATCGTAAATGAAGATTCATCAGTGTTTACAGTGAGCGTTGTTGGTGTTTGTTTATGTTTCCCACTGTGACAAGTGTAAGTGGCAAGTCAATATCTGAATATGTCGATTACCATAACTAAGTACATAAATATATAATACCGGACAATCCAAATCTCCAGTACCAACATCTTACCAAGTTCATATGTGTGTTATGGTTTAATATTTTCCAGAATTATTCAATGATATTAAATTACATTCATATTTATCCCATGTTCAAGTATTTAGAAATGAAACCAACATGCATATAATACCTTACATTGTAACATTACCATACATTGTAACAATACCTTACATTGTGACAATACCTTACACTGTAACAGTACCTTACATTGTAACAATGCCTTACATTGTAACAATACCTTACATTGTGACAATACCTTACACTGTAACAGTACCTTACATTGTAACAATACCTTACATTGTGACAATACCTTACACTGTAACAATACCTTACATTGTAACAATACCTTACATTGTATAATACCTTACATTGTAACAATATCTAACATTGTATAATACCTTACATAGTAACAATACCTTACATTGTAACAATACCTTACATTGTATAATACCTTACATTGTAACAATACCTTACATTGTATAATACCTTACATTGTAACAATATCTAACATTGTATAATACCTTACATAGTAACAATACCATACATTGTAACACTACCTTACACTGTAATAATACCTTACATTGTAACAATACTGTATAATGTAGCAATACCTTTTGTTTTTAGCAGTACCTTGTAAAACTACCTTACACTGAATTTTTGTCAATTAGAGGGGAAAATATTGGAGAATATATTCTGTCCTTGTTTACATTTGGTCAACATTCTATTCTGCAGCAGGGTTTGAAAAATGTGCCAAGTAAGCACAATTTCTTTTTCGTTCACAGATGACTGATGTATTAATATTTACAGAGGAGGAAAACAAGAGAGAATTTACAAACAATACACAAGGGTTGTTCTCACAAAGTCATTTAAATGCTGTTTTTGTACAATAGTTGTTTCTATACAATTGATAAAGTAAACATTTCGTGTATCAACAACCATTGATCAATTAAATGCTCTCATAGAAAAGCACAGACATGTGAAATTAGGCCAAATAAACGAACTGCTTTGCTAGTCATTTTAATTGTTTGGAACTTGTCAGAATAAATCTGTATCTATACATATCGACTTCAAAATCAGTCTGTAGATGTTGAAGGGATTAATGACTGTGTTTTGTATTTTTCTGTTATTGTTTTGTGTTTAGCTGGGTCCCCAGAAAAATAATGGTCCTTGCTCGGAATGATACAGGACAGGGGAATTAAGGTGTCTATTGTTTTGTGTTTTCAATTTAACAATATACAGTAAAAGACACATATGTTTGAGAGCGAACACTAACAATATAGAATCATTGAGCAGGTTATGGTTTGTTGGTGGACACTATTGTTCAGACCTGATAGAAATCATTGTTTACTTCAAGTCACAAGGCCAGTCAACTTATTTTTGAGTGTGAGATTGTTGACCTCTCCTTCGACTATTTTGTGTTAAAATTAACTCAGATATTTATTATACAAGTAACCAGGGTCTTTTTATAAGTTGATTTAGGTATTACCTGTAGAGTGAACTTTAGGTATTACCTGTAGAGTGAACTTTAGGTATTACCTGTAGAGTGAACTTTAGGTATTACCTGTAGAGTGAACTTTAGGTATTACCTGTAGAGTGAACTTTAGGTATTACCTGTAACTTTAGATTACCTGTGAACTTTAGGTATTACCTGTAGAGTGAACTTTAGGTATTACCTGTAGAGTGAACTTTAGGTATTACCTGTAGAGTGAACTTTAGGTATTACCTGTAGAGTGAACTTTAGGTATTACCTGTAGAGTGAACTTTAGGTATTACCTGTAGAGTGAACTTTAGGTATTACCTGTAGAGTGAACTTGATTATCTTCTCTAAGAGTGAAGTAAGGTATTTGAATGAATGTTTTCTTTTAGGGTTATTTTCTGTTGTTGACCTTTATTGGAGCTATGCAGGCACAGAAAGAAACTGTCATAACACCATCAGGACAAAAGTATTAAAGTCTCTGTTTACAATGAATTGTCAATAACTTACGTAACTACAATATTTTTCCAGCAGTAAACCCTTCATGCTTGATAATAGCTCTCCATAACAGTGTTGTTTGATAAAATCATCACGCAATACTACGGTACGGCTTGTAATTTTTCAGAGGTCAGAATTTTCTTTCAAAACATCAACATGATATTTAAAAGAATAAAAATTTAGCAATCTGTTTGTGAAAGGGCATCTATTAAATTGATGTCTCATCATTTCACAGATTAAATTTTCCCAATCATGTTAATGTAACGCTAAATAGTGAAAATATCCCTGCGAAAATAAGAGAGTATACAATATTTCATTGACCTGTAGTAGACTTGACATTTAGTCAGCTGTTTGGAGTTCATTTTTGTTGGCCCCTTGGGCTTATTTCAGGATAAATATGATATGTAGAGCAGTTGGTATAAAAGACAGGTTTGGCTGTTTCAGAATTCTGGTTATGTCTGGGTTACAGGTAATGTTGTAGTGGGAGGTCACATATTGCTTGGATTTTGTTTACTCTGGTAAAGCGAAAGTTGTGTTTACAGCCTTGTGTCAACATTGAAGTTTTTTGGACTACATCTGCAGGGTCAAATGTTAGGATAAATTGTACAGGTTTTATCAGAAATTTGTTTGTTAAGAAATCCAGGATATCTATATAAATATATTCAGATTCAATAGATGTGGAAATTGCATGTCAATTTTTCAGTTTCTATACATGGTCACAGTGGTGGTGGATACTGTACTGTTTATTGTGTCCACTCTCCATGTTGAGAGCCATAGGGACATGGACAGACATAATACATTTACACCATGAGTTACCCAGGGGTGTGACAATGACTTGAGTCTGTTTATATATGAAATTTTGTTTGATGATAGGACAAATGCTGTCAAAATAGGTTTTAATACCCTTTTCACAAATACCCTTATCTAAGAGTAAACGTTGGACATACATAGGAATATATAATTGGAAGGTTTGAGAGCCAGGCCTAATAACCCACAAACTTGTACATTAGTAATGTCTCTTCTTTACAACTGAATTGTTTTCTTTAATTAGTCCCTGTTTTAAATATTTTCCAAGCTTTAAGAAGAAGGAATGAAATTACTAGAAATGAATTTGTATAGTACCCATATAAAGCTGGAGGAAATGCTCATAATGGATTAGATGTTTCTGTGTTTTGGTGTCTGACATTAACTAGACAGTATAAGGAAAAGAGAATATGTTTTAGACATATATAGATAATATTTTCTCATGAAAGACTGAATAGTAACTTCTAACATGCTGTAGGAGGAACATGTCTTGGTTAATGTTACAGTGATTTTCTGTGAGTAACCTGGAATTTCTACCACATGAAGACCTTGTGTCCCTCTTCTAGGTCAATATGAGTGATAATGTTATGTTATGTTATTAGTAAGAATAAGTTGTTTTGCAGTGGTTGTAAGATTTTATGAAAATAACAAAGTATTTGGGCTCATTACTTGGGTATGTTGGTTTTTTTGTGGATGATGTCAGTGAAAAATGTCCTTGGAAAAAGTCCAGTGTTTTCTCATGAAATGTTTTTACCTAAGAAACTTTCCAGTGCCGTTACTTAATTTATTGAAGAAATAAAACAGTACTATAACAAAGTTAGATCTGCTGATTGAAAGAACATTGTGCAAAGTTAATAAAGTGTTCAGACTTTCAAAGGTCATGTGAAATTTGGTTAGATTAGAGAATACGATGCAACACAATGTGTATGTTGTACTACATTTGATATCAAGGTGTGTTTTGGAAAGATAACACCTGTACTGAACTCATTAACAATCTGATCGTCATTAGTATATCTGCTATAACTACCAGGTATCATTTGTAATTGTGGAATGCGGTACGTGAAACATGAGGCCCTGTTGACCCCTATATTGGATCAGATTTGTGCCTCTGCCAAGGATTTAATCGGCCTATCAACTTCTCAAGAACATTTTGTTTTATACTTAAACCACATATCATGCTCAGTATGAGTGGTCCCTATCAGGGTGTTGGTGTATCAGTGGAGCACGTGTACAGGTATAACAGTAATAGTCACCTTCGTCAGGCTTTGTCCTACTATACCTTTTTATAGGTATACTTTAGAAATGTAGGTTAACCATACAGGTAGGAATACTTGTGTTCTGATTACTACATTCTGTAAGGTAGTGGGAGAGTTAGGAACAGGTATGCTATAAAACCTGCTTTATTGTAATTTCTGATGTATGATATGGACACTGTATATTAGATCTTTTAAAAAAAATTCTTTGGTAATTAAATGACAAGTGAGTTTTGTGGTGATTATACAGATATATTTGGTGCATATGCTTATGTCACACAGGGGGAATATATAACCTTGCTCTGCATTTAACCATCGATTGAAGGAAAGACGTTCTAAGTTTGATTTCAGCAAGAACTTCTTGTTACCTGTACCTGTTGTTATGGAATGTCTTGTGTCAACTTAAAAATAGACATATATCAGAGTAAATCTAGAGCACAAGCTCCAGACTGCCTAAAGACTTTCTGCAGCGTCTTGAATATGTCCTGAAATGGGTTCTGAACTCTCTAGCAGGTTCTGGATAGTCTTTGATAACTATGTCTTCAAGACTTTCTGAAATAGGTTTTGTAATTATGCCATGGACTGTTGTCAGCCGACTTTCAGTCTCACTCATTAACATGTGATGTACTCTACAAAGCAGGCCTAGATTGTACTTGAAGTGTTAGGGCTAAGGCCTCATGATCAAGAGAGATTACTTCCATTCTTAGAATTCTACTGCAACAAGAATATATCAATGAAACAGTTTAGTGAACAAATGCATTTTCTCATTCCAGGACTTGTCTTTTAATCATGGCTTTGTGTGGACACTAGTTAACTATGGCCTTCAGATTCCACAGATGTGCTCGATGATGAGGAATTGAACCTCACCACTGGTCATCGTCGGAGTGGTGGTCTGGTCACTGGGACCTATGTCCCTGACTGGGGTAAAACCCAGCATGCTGGCAGTAGATGTCCTGACAGAGCAGTTGCGTGACCAGACTATCGATGAACAGGCCAAGAAAACGTCACAAATAAAGCTGGTAAGTTAAGAGAAACAAAGAGAGCTTATAGTTTTATGCTGAGAAGTCCAAAAGTAAAAGTTTGAGCTAATTTCTGAAATGAATTACATAGGTTAGAAAGTTTCGTGATCACCTAACCAAGAACCCTTCTAAACGACTGACCAACCAACCAACCAACCGACTAACCAATCTTCTAACCAACCAATCTACCAACCAGATAGTTTTCCAACCAGCCAATCTATCCACCAGCTAACCAATCTACCAACCAGATAGTTTTCCAACCAGCCAATCTATCCACCAGCTGACCAATCTACCAACCAGCCAATCTTCCTACCAACCAACCAACCAATGAAATAAATTGAAATCTTAACTATGATGTTGTCTACTCTACAAATAAACTATTCAAAGATAATTGAGTGAAATGCCTCAGAGAGAAGAAATATCAAATATAATAGAACTGGACTACTGATATGTATGTCTGAAATAAGAACACAGAACATCTCCTTCAGTATAATGAGGATTGATAAAGGTATTTTAATCTTTTTATTCGGCACTTCAGATCCAGGCTTCTGATGGGTACAAACTCAGTAAAAATGCAGAGGCGACAATTGCAGGCTCAGGTGAGTACATTGTAATAAAATAAATCATTTGTAACATTTCATTGTACACCTCAAGTAGTTTATTGGGACAAACACATTGACTTTGTGTCATTAATGGACTATGTGTCATAGAACATGATGTTAGTACACCAGTTATACTGGAGTGTAATTTAAAATCTTTGTTGTATCTCTTATGATGTCTCTCCATAGAAATATATGTCATTAATTATTTATTTATGAAATTGCTTTAGGTAAAAAGGTTTGGACAGTGCAATTAAATTCTGCAGCGGGGAAAGATCTTTTATCAGAATCACTAAGACAGGGGTTGAATACAGCCCCTCCGATAGCCAATCTTGCCTCTGACCAGTCAGGAGACCTTGGGCCACCCCAAAATGCCCCAGCACCACCTAAAAAGAGACATTGTAGGTCTCTCACAGTCCCAGTTCCACCAGAACGACCAACACCATCATCATCTTGGCAGCCACAGGAGTCGCGGCTATGGAAACCTGTGGCTGTGATATCTAGTGAGAGAACACAGTCTGAGGCCACAGTGATGCCCGTCAATTTTTGTGGTAGTGACGCAACTTTAGGGCATAGAACTTGTGAGAGTGTTGGCGGGATCCCCACAGGGATGTGTAATTGTGAACAAAGTTTTGCTGTTCCAAGTGACATATTCACCCCACCAGAATCACCAGTGCCCCGTCCATCTTCTACATCAACATGTTCTGGTCGCCATGATGGTACATTTAGTCCACTTGGTGCACCATGGCTTGAACACTGTCAACGCCGGTATGATGCTTTCCAAAGCCGGAGTCTTTCATTTGAGGATCAAATCTCATGTAGTTCGAGTTCTGGGTCCACGCCTAGTGTTCCTGGGTGTGTTCATTCCCAACAATCTCTGTCTCAACCTTACCACCCTCACCATCACCACCATCACCATCACCACCACCGTATCCCAAGATGCCGTTCACAACCGTCTATGACTCATGACAGAAAATATGGACTTAAACGTCGTAGAGACTATGATCGTCCTACTTTAAATTTTCGCAAAATGACAGAGGTAAGTTTTCAAGCTGGAGATTTTATTTAAACAGAAAGGTATTGGTCTGGCCCCCAGTTGTTCAAAGGTTCGTTAGTTATCCTGTCAATAGTGAAAAGTTCATATTGTTGCCACTAAAAGAATGTTAAAAGACAAAACTTACTCTCAAAATACATCAAACTGACCTGTCACAACAAATTTCTTACTATGAAGTGATAAAGAATGTTGATTAATGTTCCCCCATATAATCTTATTTGAAAATTTTTACGAACTGTTGACTATTTTTGATCAGCCATTGAACAACCAGGGCCTTATGTTTATATCATTTACATAGACTATGCTATCCATGGACACCAGAACCCCTTAGTATTATTATTCACCAAAACTTAACATGACATAAATAACTAATACAGATATATGGTGTATAATTTTGCTTTTTGTTGGTACCAGAGTACAAATGAGTTGGTTTGATAGTTTTATTTATAAACTAGCTATTGATTGGCATGGACTCACCTGCTGTGTAAACAGGTAGGACATACAACCAATCAGCATTGTAAATGTGTAACAAGCATGCTACATGTTGACAAAAAACTTAATATGTTCAAAGAAAAAAATATGGCAGGTTTCCAATATCAGTTTGGCAATATTTCAAGAAAATTTTTCAATAACTGTTATGATGAAGGGTTTTCCTTTGGATTTCCTTAGATCATAGTACTGGTTATAGGTCTGTAGAGAACATCCATTATGATCTAGTAGAACCGTAACCAGACTGCCTACTTTCTCTCAGAAACACCAATATTTTTAGGGGGATTTTTGTAAATAGTAGTTATTGTACTTTCTGTTTGTGGTAGTTATCAAAAAATAATGTTACACATATTATCATTAATTACTTTAAGTTAGTAGGTCTCTAAATATGTATGGAATAATTTTCTAAGGGATCAATTAGCTGACAATTTTATAGCAATACTGTTCAAAGTACTGACTGATTTTGTCTATGAATATTTACACAAATTATCTTTTGTAAACTAGAAACTTTGAAGTGAGTAAATGCCCCATGACAAGTCATTTGAACCATTTATTTTCTAAGTATGACAATTTTTGTCTCGTCATATGACTATCATGATTCTGTCATTGTGAACTTGTAGGGTAAACACAAACAATAATATAGCAAACGTAGTACTATAATAGCTCTTTGACACTGAGGTTCAATTTTACTGAAATTTTAAAAGCCTTAAAAATTTTACACCTGCAGGCTAGCTTTCTAAGTCTATAAACAATGGAGTATAATGACTGATTGAGATCTTTTTATAGCTTATTTTCATGTCAGGAATATTCTTATGAGTTTTAGTGTCTTGTGATTATAAATATTGTTAAATGTTTCCTGTTTGATTACCATCGTTATGCTGCAATAACCCCAGGGGGCCAACAATAAAGGGAATTGGGGGGGGGGGGGCAACATTAGGAAAGGAGGAGATAGAGCTGTAGATTGGATTATTACTAGGCATGGATTTTTTACCAGATATACAGAGTGTATAATTCAGATAAAACACCTGTAATAATGTTCTATCTGAACTCATTAATGTAATGAATTGTCCAATCCTTTTATGTGTTGGTAACTTTAATATGACTGTGATTTACTTTGTTCTTTTTAGTATAAACTTTATTTTACAATAAAAGTGAGAACAAGTTATCAAATTTATATTAATCACGCTTGTTGACTGAAGCACACAAGGATATTACTGTGGGAGGGAAACCTGGGGAAAACCCACAGGACAGGGCATGAAGGCGACCCCTTACGCTTTTACACATGGTCAATCAAACCTGGACATGTTGGTGAAATTCCAGTGTGTTACCACTTTGCCACCCAATCATAACAAGCCTTTACTCTACTTTCACTTAACTGTTAGTGATGGCTCTTGGGTTTCCAGTAAGATAAGTATGTTGGGGTTGTACAGTGTACCACTGAGTTTCAACATTAGAACAGGTATCTAATTATATTTGATTTTTATTAGCCCTCAAATAAATGAAGTCCAAGGTCTGTTGTCAATCCATCATCTGTCATTAAACAGTTGTGATTAACTTTTTCAAATTTAATTTTCATTTGGTCATTATATAATTAGCAGTTAAATTTGTTGACAAGTGATCATCTTTGATTGCAAGGTTGAATTTTAATGCTTTTCTGCAGAAATTGCTGGATGGATATTTTTTCAACTTTTACTTGTAAATTCCTATTTCTTCCATGTTTCATTTGAGCTCTATGGCAGCTATACAGTAACCCAAGTCTTTCGCACCTGTTCCTGGTGGAAGGTCACTTGTGACTAGCTCAGAATCTAAGTAGATTATAGGACTTACAGATTGCTTTACTAGTCACATGTGAGATCTATAATCCCTTCCTGGTCATTATTCTATCATCTGTATTGACATTTTTATCATTTCTTTTAGTATTTGTTTGTTTAAAAAATAAAGCAGCATTCACATTCACTATCTTGATTATCAGCTATGTTTTAGCGTCATACATATTTCAGCTATGTGTTATTGAGGTAAAAGTATTGTGAGCTAGCAATGTGAGACCAAATCATTATATTTGAATCCATTACGTCTGATTTGCAGACCACTGCTTATAGAGTTATTCCCCTTAATATCTTAAACACTTGTTGGTTTTTCAGCTGTTACTCTCAACTGAGAATAATTAAGAAATAATAAATAAAATATAGTTGGTTTCAGCTGACAATTTTAAGTTTTTATAACAATGATTGACTGTTATTTTAAATCACTGAAGGTCGGGGTTATATAGTAATCTTCTTGTTTGTATGTGTATACATCCATGCCTCTGTCCATGATATCCTTAAAATTTGTAAATTTTTGTAACTTAATGTCTCTTGATCTCCATGATAGTTTTAGTTCCTATTCACACTATTGAATTACACTATCAGGGTCTACATCAGATTTGATTTTGATGGTCATCGGTCAAGGTGAAATGTCAGAAGTAACTACTGACCACTTTTGAAATATATTTTGTAAAAAGCTTGAGTACAAGATATCTCATGAACTCCTTGATAGATGAATCCTTCAATGGATTTAGATCAGAAGGGAAATATTTGGGGGTAGGGGTAAATCTATGTAAGGCCCTGCTAATTTTGTTCTTATTCATATCTGAGTACAGAATAAGCTGTTGCCTATCTTGTTGTAAAAAGACTGAATTATTGATTCTACAGGGAAACCTTTTTGTTTATTTACAGACGGCATATCAACAAATACCCAGGTCTGAATCACTGTCATCCCGCCAGGGTTTGAAGGAGGTAATATAGTAATCTTTATTTGACGTTGTATAAGCTAGAATATAAACCAGTTATGAGCAGGTTATTTCTTGTTTATAACTTTATAAAAACTCCTTCAGAAAAACTGAAAATTGTATATAATATATTGTGTTAAGATTCAAGTAATCAATTATTGTAATAATTTATTGTACACTATGTATTTAAACAAAAAATTGTACAGTCTTATACGTCAAGTCCCATATGGTACAAACAGCAGCCTTATATACCTAGGGTTGTAAACTGTGTATATGTATGATACTTGAAGTCCCATATATGGTATAATGGGCTTACATCAATTACAAGGTCAGTTTTCTCAAATAATATGCCTAGATCTGAATAATCTACAACCCACACATACACATGGATATACGTCCTAACTACATCAGTCCTGTAAAACTGGTTATTTCATGAAATGTACCTTTTTTGTGTCTGATCTACATACAGGAACTGTAATTATTGTAAGATTGTTTCAATCTTTAGTTCACAATAGATAGGTATTCATGTCCAATTGCTGTATTTGAAAACGACTTGAGGTAGAAATTATGTAGGAAACAACTGATTATATGCCCTCTTTAAAAACATTAGTAGTGCATTATATTGCCTGTTTTGGCCGATGGTCTATGGACTAGGAACGTTTTTCAACCTCAGTATTTAAAATAGAAATCCAAGTGAAACAGTTTTAAGTAAAATTGAGGAGCCTCCCAAAAGTGAATGTTGACCTAGTGGTATATAGAGTATATAGATGTTCTTAGAATGAGGGTGATCTGTATAGAATTGTTCTCAGTGTTTAGGATAATCTTGGTGCTTGCTTATAATAGGCATTGATAACTATAAAAAACCCTCTTCTGATGCCACCGTACACCGGTTGGTGATACACAGAAGGTGCTAAAGCAGAGAAATAGGATTAAAATCTACCTGTACAGAAGGGACTATATACCAAAGTCTTTATAAACAAGAGAAATAGGATTAAAATCTACCTGTACAGAAGGGACTATATACCAAAGTCTTTATAAACAAAAGAAATAGGATTAAAATCTACCTGTACAGAAGGGACTATATACCAAAGTCTTTATAGACCAGAGAAATGGGATTAAAATCTACCTGTACAGAAGGGACTATATACCAAAGTCTTTTTAAACAAGAGAAATGGGATTAAAATCTACCTGTACAGAAGGGACTATATACCAAAGTCTTTATAGACAAGAGAAATGGGATTAAAATCTACCTGTACAGAAGGGACTATATACCAAAGTCTTTATAGACAAGAGAAATGGGATTAAAATCTACCTGTACAGAAGGGACTATATACCAAAGTCTTTATAAACAAGAGAAATAGGATTAAAATCTACCTGTACAGAAGGGACTATATACCAAAGTCTTTATAAACAAGAGAAAGAGGATTAAAATCTACCCATTATTACACTATGATTATAGAATGGCCTGTAGTTATTGAATAATTTAGCAAGTGTTTGTCATGTTCTGCCTCAGTGGTGTTTTTTTCATATCTTGGATATCTATAGGGATTTAATGAATGGTTCATTGACCTGCAACATTATGTTAGTCCCCTCATTATTATGCACATTCAGGGACAGAGTGTGTAAATTATGAACATATGTGTGTATTAACTATAAGGCAAACTTTTATACTTTGCTGGTACTACCTTATCTTTCTAAAAAAAAAAAGAATAGTTTGTGCCACTGTTATCATCAGCAGTTGTGGTCGTCAATCATTTCTTTGTGATGATTTTAGCTACCGTGCAAAAGTAATGGTGTAAAGTGCTGGATCTAGATTTTATTTCAGGCCTTATTTGCAAGAAATCTGTTTTTACAGGCTCATCAAAAAATTTTAAAGGAATCTATTGTAGTATGGCATTGACTTTTGTCATAAACTTTTTATTGCACAATGATACACAATAAGCCAAGTTCCTTTGTGCAAATATACATGATTCAGTGCTTCTGTTATGGGAAGGAGCTGCTTAAATTGCTTTGCATATCTGAAGATTGAAGTCCTGAGTTGCTGCTACTATAAATGGAAAGCTGGTTTCTTCACAATTGTGTTTTCATCGGTCAGCCTCCAGTATTTTAGAGAAAGTGCAATGTGTATTTCTCTTGCACCATTCAGAGGGGAAGATGGGGAGAGAGAAAATGGTTGCTTATTTGGAGTGAATTATCTGTCCTTGTTAAAACTAAGTAATGATGATAATCAGCAAAAGTAATTACGTTTCCACAACTTCCACTTATTTAATGCCCTGGAATATTCGTGACATTACAAAATAAGAGAAAAAAACTCATCTGTGGCTAACGTAATAGGTTGTTGTTGAAACATGTGTGACCACCTTTGAGTGTATCAGTAATACATTTATCACCAGGTAAGCTGGCCAAAAAAATCAAAGACGGATATTATAGTTAGGAAATGATCCGTATGTGGTATGACTGCAGGCTCCATTGACAGATCAGTTGTATGTGAGACAAGCCTATCTGTTACATTGCCTGGGTTTTGTCTCTATCTCCTGTACATAATTATATAATGACAGCCATAAACAGGCACACAAAGGACTACTTGCTGGAAACTGCTTCATCAGACGATTCTTGGCTTTGTGCGTTAGTCTAGATCTGTCGTTGGGTGTTAGAATCTCTCCTCACCTGTAAAACCTAATCATCATTGTTTCCTGGCCCCCGGCAAAAGAGCAGACTACTTCAATGTTACCTAAAGTACATGTCTTAATTTCCATGAACCCATCAATGAAGATCATAAGAATTTATAATAAATGTATCGTCTAATGATTTCCGCCTCTAAATGGTGTATTGATTTTATTAATGTTTTTTCTCACAAATGCTCTGATAGTTTCCTATTTTGATGTAGCAGCCATTCATGAAAATCAATTAGGTCAATCTGTCTGTGTGTTGCATGTAAAGGAGAAATAAAAGACAACAAGGTGAAGGTCATACCATATGTATAGGAGAAATCAAAACCAGTAAGGTGAAGGTCATACCATATGTATAGGAGAAATCAGAACCAGTAAGGTGAAGGTCATACCATATGTATAGGAGAAATCAAAACCAGTAAGGTGAAGGTTATTTCTTATATGATGAATGAGGTCACTGTATGTACCAGAACAAATACATTGCAGTTTCTATAGTAGTCAATTACAAACCAATGAATTTAAGCATTGATATTTCATTTTGTTTGCAGAAGCGTGTTTCAAAGTTTCATGAGGAGCTTGAGTCTGTCATGAGTCTGATGCCAATAGCAAGCTCTCCAATGGATACTGATCTACCAATCAAGCGGATGATGGTAGCACGGAATAGCCCAATCAGCGAAATGGACAGTGGTCGCAGTGACAGTGCTGAGTTCCTAGACAGTGAGGCCAGTGACAGTCTAGGGGAGGGGCCAGTCAAGCTTCTAGGGGAAGGATGTGAGGAATGTGAGGCTGGGGATGATGAGGTGGAAGAGATATTCACACTACCAGAGGACCTTGATCTGGAGCAGATAGAGAACCACTGATATTATACTTCCTCAGCACATGACGATGATTGTGTACTTCTTAATAAATGCATGTATACACTGATATCATATTTGTATGAACTTAGAGTTGCTTCTTGTCATAGAGATCCTGTCATTGTATATGTCATCAGCAGTATAGTGGTAATCCCCAATTATGATATTCATGACACAGTGTTTGTTACAACCAAATCCATGGTGTATTTAAAGTCTGATAACAATTTTCTGAAGATGTAACAACAACATACAGTTACTGAATCTATTAATTGATCCATAGTGAATGAAAAATGAACATGCATATCATCACAAGTATGCAAATTTCCTCACAGTGTATAAGAGATGACTATTTCATTAATGTGTATAAGATGTGAGCATTTACTCACAGTTGATATGATGTGAGAATTTCCTCATTGTTTATAAGATGTGAGAATTGTCTCACAGTTGATATGATGTGAGGATTTCCTCATGGTGTATAAGATGTGAGAATTCTCTCACAGTTGATATGATGTTAGGATTTCCTCATGGTGTATAAGATGTGAGAATTCTCTCACAGTTGATATGATGTGAGGATTTCCTCATGGTGTATAAGATGTGAGAATTCTCTCACAGTTGATATGATGTGAGGATTTCCTCATGGTGTATAAGATGTGAGAATTCTCTCACAGTTGAATATGATGTGAGGATTTCCTCATTGTTTATAAGATGTGAGAATTCTCTCACAGTTGATATGATGTGAGGATTTCCTCATGGTGTATAAGATGTGAGAATTCTCTCACAGTTGAATATGATGTGAGAATTTCCTCATTGTTTATAAGATGTGAGAATTCTCTCACTGTTGATATGATGTGAGGATTTCCTCATGGTGTATCAGATGTGAGAATTCTCTCACAGTTTATATGATGTTAGGATTTCCTCATGGTGTATAAGATGTGAGAATTCTCTCACAGTTGATATGATGTGAGGATTTCCTCATGGTGTATAAGATGTGAGAATTCTCTCACAGTTGATATGATGTGAGGATTTCCTCATGGTGTATAAGATGTGAGAATTCTCTCACAGTTGATATGATGTGAGGATTTCCTCATGGTGTATAAGATGTGAGAATTCTCTCACAGTTGATATGATGTGAGGATTTCCTCATGGTGTATAAGATGTGAGAATTCTCTCACAGTTGATATGATGTGAGAAGTTCCTCACAATGATAAAGAGGTGAGCATTTCCTTTCCGTTTTTTCCTCACTGTTTATAAGAGGTGAGGATTTCCTGGCATTGTATAGGAGGTGAGGATTTCCTCAAAGTGTGTAAAATTCAAACATTTCACTGCAGTGTAAAAGAGTTGAGCAAATTCCTACTCTGTGAGGATATAATTTTGTATATGTGGAAATATATGGTCTCATATGTGTTATTTAATTCCTAAACTCCCAACATTTTCAACAGGGTCCAATATATTTATATATCTTATTATTATATATATTATTTATTCCAATGAATTAACATTATTTGTATCCAAATTTGATTGAAAAGCACATGTGATATAAAAGGAGATCGGAACAACACAATAAATTACTAACAACACCTATATAGTGATTTTAGTTTCTTTAACAATCAAATATGCATTTGTGATGATTTTTTTTTATTTTTGGTAAAATTTCTTCAGTTTCTGGAGAAGCATGTAGTTACATCATTGTTGAATATGAGATTATCAAGCAAAGAATTGCATGGACAAATTAACTGACATGGTACAAGGGAGATAACTATAATATAAGATTTTTACTAAAACTGTTAATATAATTTTAGCAATGTGTCACATGTGTACCTTGTGTCAGTACTATTTATTGAAATATAGTTTACATTATGATAACACAATTTTTGGTGAGATTGTATGAATATATTTCAAATTTTGTGTCGAACTAGTCTTAACTGACAGAACAACCCTTTTGCTGTTGTTTTGCTTCCATCCATTTGTAATGTAACTTATACCAAGTGTGATTTAGGTGTATATAAAGTGTGTGTAGGTGAGAGTAGCTGCCTCTCAGTCATGGATACAGGTACATATTACCTGACCAATCTGAATTACTGTAGAGGTTGCTTTTTCAATGGTTCAAATTTTTTTTGGCATTTTTGCTAAGAGCCAGAATTATGTGTGGAAGTAATGAAACAGATTATGTATTTCTCTATAAATTTCATTTTTTAAAGTATTTGGTAACTGTTTTTCGTGAATTTATCCCATCTTGGAAAATAACAAAATCAGGGCCTTTTGACAATAATCTTTATGGTATATTCTATACATCAGAATTAGAAATCTGGATAATTAGGTTTGTAACATGGCGAGGCTGTTCTCAGTACAGTCGGAACCATCAGTAGACTATACAGTAAATTGTGTAAGCTTGACAGCTGTTATTGTGAACCATTTCTACTATTTTTACAAGAGTATGTTAAAAAACTAAGATATTATGTAATTCTGTTATATAGATCAAATGAGCTGAGAAAAATTAGACCAGAGTACGAGAGGGTTTCTGGTTTTGTGGTGTTTTCCTAAAGCCTTATGGTTCTATTTACTGTTCATACTTTATCCTGTGATTCCTCAGTAAGACTTCTCGAAGAACGAGCACTGTTGTATAGTATATTTATGTTAAAATTGTAAGAACATACCAAGGTTTATTATTGGCCTGCACATAAAACACGGTCTTCAAGTCACCCTAAAATGTAAGAAATTTAGATTTCAAATTCAACATCAAGCTTAAGGCCAGCCTATCAGTTTCGTCATTTTGGTAAAATAGTGAAATGAGTGAAACAGTGGCAGGTTTCCTTGCATTCAGAACCAACTGTATCGTAGGTCTGTTGATTTAAGATGGTATATATCTAAATGTCTTTATCGTTTTGATATGAAGATCACTTGTGTATTCATGAGATCAACTCTGTTTCCTTTATTTTCTTGAACTTTGATGGCACCTGTTCACCCTAATTGAAGAGAATACATGCAAATCTTTATTTTCTTGCATTGAGGCAGTACAGATGAGCTTTCATTCTCTTGAATGAGGACAGCAACAGCTCCTATGTATCTTTATTCTCTTGAATAAGCCACATGAGTTCTGATAGTAAAGGTGGTACATATGTAATATTATTATTTAGAATTAAGACAAATTAATCAAAACAGTACCTGTGTATCATTACTCTCTTGAATCAAAACACATGGGTGTCTTTATTCTCTGGAATTAGATATCACATGTATGTCTTGATTTTCTTGAATAAGACACATGAATTAAGATGGTACCTATGTAGTTTTAAAAAATTCATTGAATTAAGACAGATGAATCAAGACATCATTAGTTTATATTTTTACTCTCTTAAATTAAGATTGTACCTGATTGTATATATTGTGATGTTCTGTACATTACTTGCTCGTGTACAGATGGAGTATGTGTTGTAAAGAAAGTCTGTGTAGCTTCTGCTTCATAGGTTAGAGTGACTGATAGTAAGAATGGTAGTGAATCATATTATGAAAGGTACATTCCTGTATAGGCACACTTATAATAAATGGCATGAAATGATGAAGATATGTCTCCCTACATTTATATGTTACACTTTCTGCATAACTGTCTCGCATGGCAGGAAGAAGACAGATAGCACACTCCCTTCCTGGTTAAATGTCTAGCATGGCAGGAAGAAGACAGCTAGCACACATCCTTCCTGGATCACTGTCTAGCATGACAGGAAGTAGACAGATAGCACATTCCTTTCTGGATCACTGTCTAGCATGACAGGAAGTAGACAGATAGAACAATTCCTTTCTGGATCATTCTCTAGCATGACAGGAAGTAGACAGATAGCACACTTCCTTCCTGGATCATTCTCTAGCATGACAGGAAGTAGACAGATAGCACACTTCCTTCCTGGATCATTCTCTAGCATGACAGGAAGTAAACAGATAGCACACTTCCTTCCTGGATCATTCTCTAGCATGACAGGAAGTAGACAGATAGCACATTCCTTCCTGGATCATTCTCTAGCATGACAGGAAGTAAACAGATAGCACATTCCTTCCTGGATAATTCTCTAGCATGACAGGAAGTAGACAGATAGCACATTCCTTCCTGGATTATTCTCTAGCATGACAGGAAGTAGACGGATAGCACACTTCCTTCCTGGATTATTCTCTAGCATGACAGGAAGTAGACGGATAGCACACTTCCTTCCTGGATCATTTTCTAGCATGACAGGAAGTAAACAGATAGCACATTCCTTCCTAGATCATTCTCTAGCATGACAGGAAGTAGACAGACAGCACATTCCTTCCTGGATCACTTTCTACCATGACAGAAGTAGAAAAATGTATGTAGACCATTATCTTTGTGTGTAAATGGCATGTGTTTGTGAATCTTTGATGATGTATATGAAGCTCTGACATGTTTTAGATTTAAATAATTTAATGAATATTATATATTTTGTTGATATATTTTACCCTTGAAGTCCCATGTTTCGCTGATATGAACTCATTTTTGCTTCATCAAAGTTGCCATCATAGTCATCCCATTATAGACCTCAGTCATTGTCACGACAGAATTCCAGCACACTCCCATATAAATAACCATTTCAATTTAAGTAGTTTTAAATCTCATGTTTCAAATCACATTTATTCCTTAACAAATTTTAAAATAAATCTGTATTGTGTACAACCTGATAATTACTGGTCTACAGTTCTGAAACAGTTTAAGAATTGTTGTATTTATGTTCACTTCTTTAGCTCTATCATTACATTAATTCTTGCTACCAACTCAAATTACATATCAACACTTTCATCTGAAATCAGTATGTCTCATTGTAATATACAATACATTTTTCATAGTGAACAACTGAATGGCTGTAGTATTTCTGCTTACTTCATGTGGAAATATTCATTTTTACTGGTTATGAAATTGTCAAGAGCAAGCTTTCAAACATGAAATCCTCTTAAAGGCATCATTGTAGGTGGAATTTAATGTAGCATAATAGACTGATGTGGAGTAGTATATGACAGCTTCCAAATTACCTCAAAATTTCTGATAGAAATGTAGTTTATTTTGATATACTTGCCAGTACTCTGTCTCTGTACTTGTTCCGAATATTGTAAATCAACAAACTTTAAGATATAATAAAAGATTTCTACAATGTTCGGTAACGAAACTTTCTATTTACTTCTCATATTCGTCTCTCAATATCTGTTTTTTAAAAATTCAATAATTTTGAAATTTGCAGTACTTATTTCAGATTTGCTATTCAAATTTAAGTATTTTGTGTTCTTTGTTCAAAAGGCTTAGGGAAATTCCTGTTTTATAATGCAAAGTTTCAAACCACAGTTGTGTCAATGCAAAGTTCTGTATATTGATGTATAACCAGTCTTTAGTCAAATAAGGAGTACAATGGCTTGTAGGTCAGACTATATAGAACTATGTAACATTTAGCTGAACATTATTCATTTGAACAAAAATATCATGTTTTGATGAATAAAATACAAATTAATTCATAATATTTCTTTTGTTTTTCATTTTAAGCCCACCATTATCAGATGGGGGGCTGTTCAAATGGCCCTACATTTGTGGTCTGTCATTCCTCTGTCGGTCTGTAAACAATATTTGTAATCACTATTTCTTAAGAAGACTGATCAGAAAATAATATGGTCAACAGGCGGCCATCTTTCATATTGCTCTTGCTTGAGAAATACTGGGTAAATCTTTCTCAAATTTCATGTATATGTTCCCCTTGGTCCCTGGTTGCCCCTGCCTGATTTTGGGACTGATTGAAAAAATTAAAAGACCAGCAGTCAGCCATCTTGGATTTAGCCTAGGATAGATTGTTATTTCTATCCCTTAAGAAGTACTGAATGAAGCTCTCTCAAATTTCATAAGTATATTCCCTTTGGTCTCTATCTGTGCCGTGGGATTTTGGGACTGATTAGAAAAAATCAATGGCTTTTAGGCGACCATCCTGAATTTGGCAGGTAAAGATTATCATTGCTATTTTTGCAAAGGAATGTTCAAATTTCTTATCGTTAAGAGCAAAATCTGCAAAAAGAGAAAAGAAGGGAAAAGATCCAACTTACAAAGAGCAAATAAAGAACAAATAATGGTATTGTCTGGCCAGCTGATGCACTGAGTGAAGGGAGATAACGCAAGTGGGTAAAGGAAAATAACTTTCAGGATATAGAGACAGCACATGTAATAAGTAAGAGGAGACAACTTCAATGATAGGTAAATTACTTTCCCTAGTTGATCAAAACTTGGTTAGGGTTGACAGTGGTTAACAATAAAAATAATTATTGTGTACCTGTCTAAAAAAAATCTTCAGCTGTGAATTTATAATGAACATTCGTTTAATTCATATTTTATCTTTTTTTCAAATTCTGACAAAGCTTAAAGCATCTGGTCCTGGTTATAATGTAAGGGGAAATAATTAAGAGATATGCAGATGGTTGATTAACTGATTTAAGGGAGATAACACCAGTGATTTGTAGACAGCTGGTATATTGGATAAGTTGAGGTAGTGCCAGTTACTTTAAGACAGGCTGAGGTATTGAATAAGGGATGATAACTCAGTTGCTATGTAGATAGCTGATGTACTGCGTAAAGGGAAATAACCGAAATGATATAAAGGACAGTAAATATATTGAGTAAGAGAGCTCACTCCAGTGATATGTAGATAGCTGATGCCCGGAGCTATTCAAGTATATATATAGACCTTGCAATATTGAGTAAGTGGAGATCACTCCAGTGATATGTATGTAGTTATGTAAGAGCTATCATACTAAACATTTTTATCAAGAGTAGAGGGAGCTCATTCCGATGATATGATTACAGCTGATGAGTAAGAGGAAGAAAATAGAACATATATTTACAACTGATATACTGAGTAAGTGTAGGTAATTTTAATGATCAGGAGACAGATGATGGGTAAGGGGGTGAATTAATATAGCCCTAGTGCGATAGCCGATGTACTGGAGAGATATCTAGATAGCTGATTTGGATAAGGGGAGATGACTCCAAAGATATGTAAAATACAGTTGATGTATTGAGTAAGTGGAGATAACTCCAGTGAGACAGTCAAAAAACTGAATAAGTGGATATTAAACCAGTGGTAACTACACAACTGATGTAGACAGCTGATATATTAAGTAAATGACTGAGGGGAGATTATCCAAAAAGATATAAGATAGCTGATGTATTGAATACGTTTAGATAACTCCGATGTAGACAACTGGTGTATTAATTGATAGAGTGATATCTAACACACTAAAACCAACTTTTATTAATGGAAATAATGATATTCACTTTGGCCTCTATACCTTATAAGCAATCTCAAGCAGGTACGCCCAGTTAGTAAACACTCTTATACATTTGAGTATGAATGGGACTTGGGTTGTCGCAAGGAAACCTTTATTTATAGAACTAACGTTGAACGAAAGATGGCCATTTAAAGCTGACATAAGAACTGCTTGTTTCTTGTTTTTTGTTTTTGTTTTTGCTCTTTTTTAAACCTTGTTAGACAAGGTAAGGTCAAATGACCGACTAACTGTACACTTCATTGATTTAAGGGTGAAGGCCACACTAAATGTGATCAAAACTCTTGCACAAGTCTCCCTACTAACACATGGCAAAAAGATTCGTTCGTTTTGTGCATTCCAAATATATGTATTGTGATTCCGGTAAAACAGACCTACGAAAAGTTTCATTTTTTCATTATTAATATACAATCACAATAGGATCAGAGAATCGCTGGCTCACAGACGTTTCCAGCCAGGTCCACTTCTCTCGAGATAGTTGAACTCCAATCCGAAACGTCCCCAAGGTGGCGAGTCAACAGTTTTTTTCTAAATCACTGCCTATCTGTGAATTGCTTCCAGTTTCTGTCTTGTCTTCTTTACCATAACCAGCTGGAAGAGTTATCTGTCGTCTTTACCATAACCAGCTGGAAGATTTATCTGTCGTCTTTCATAACCAGCTGGAAGATTTATCTGTCGTCTTTCATAACCAGCTGGAAGATTTATCTGTCGTCGTTACCATAACCAGCTGGAAGATTTATCTGTCGTCTTTACCATAACCAGCTGGAAGATTTATATGTCGTCTTTCATAACCAGCTGGAAGATTTATCTGTCGTCTTTCATAACCAGCTGGAAGATTTATCTGTCGTCTTTACCATAACCAGCTGGAAGAGTTATCTGTCGTCTTCACCATAACCAGCTGGAAGATTTATCTGTCGTCTTTACCATAACCAGCTGGAAGATTTATCTGTCGTCTTTACCATAACCAGCTGGAAGATTTATCTGTCGTCTTTTCCATAACCAGCTGGAAGATTTATCTGTCGTCTTTACCATAACCAGCTGGAATTTCAAAGGTCGTGTTAGAATTCAACATTTCATTTGATAATATTCAAAATAGGTTTTATCACCTGATCTTCTAAGCATATAAAACAAATATTTATCATCACTTTTTCCGAGTTCATGTTGTTTCGAACCAGTGAGTCATTTTTGTGCGCCGTCTTGTTCACACTGGCGATAGAAAACTTTCATCCCTTGATCTGTATCAAAACTAGGTTAAAACTTAGGTAACTCGATCTGAAAAACAAGAATTTCGATCTGTTCTCTTGCTGTTTAACTACGATATAGAATTGTTGTTTTTATGCGGTGTCAACAGCTTCGCGTTGATTCCTTCGCATCCAATATAATTGCGGGTTTCTCTACTGATGTTATGCTAGGGAATTCGCCTATCGTCGGGTATGTTTCTTTCTGCATCGGTAGTCTCCAAATTTCCAGACATTTCTCCGCCCAGGTGAGATGGCGAGTCCTTGTAATTATTTCTTGAAGACTTCAATCCCTCAGCGATTTCTTAGACGTCTGTTCCATCCTGTTTTGTAATATTCTTCCCCATTTTTTTCCAGGTCTTGTGTACTAATTAAATATATCACGGCCCATTCAACTTGTTTCATATCGCATCCCCCTTGCGGTGTTTTCTGCAATATGCGCTCCCTGTCTTAATCAATGAATAAACGAATAAATCAATAATCTTGTGTGTTAAAAATCGATAGCCTTCCAGATGCTGACTTCATTCAATCATTTGGTTTTTCCTCAGTCGCCTACTAGGCTTCAAAATTAGGGAACTTTGTTATCCATTTTTGTGTCTATTGTACTAATTTTAAGATAGCAAGTGGAAGACACTGATTGTAGACTTGAAGTCCCTGAGGTTTGCCGTTACCTGTTTACCACATTTTAATTCACTCGAATAGTGGCATGGTTCAGAAAATACACATGTACTTAGTCGCCTCCTAGGTTTCAAAATTAGCAACACTGACGAGTCCTAAAAAGGACGAAACAGCTGTATGATATAGTTCAATTCATTGTCTGGCTGTACTCTTAACTCTAAATTTGTATTTATAGGTGCTATTCATATGTATGTCTTTAGAGCATAAAAAAAGAAATGATAATGAAAAATATGAACAAACTTCAAAGAAAAAAAATTACGAATGTGTGTCCTTTTATATTTCAAATTTGTCTTCCTTACTACCACCGATAGTTTCCGAAAATTCATCTTACAATCTTCGTAATGCACATAATTTTTCGCTACCAAATTTCCGACTACAATTAACAAACTCATCCTTCTTCCCCTCCTCTATTAGGCTCTGGAATCAGCTCGATTTAGAAATAAGGCAAAGTATATCATACCAATCTTTTAAAAAATCCCTTAAACACAACATAACTGTTCCAAACTTCTATTATTTCGGCGATAGGAAAAAAATATATTCCACGTTAGACTACGAAATCATGCCAGCACTCTAAACAATGACCTCTATAGAGTTAATTTGATAAATTATCGACACTGTCAATGTGGACACCCTATTGAAGACACCTTTCACTATTTCTTTGTCTGTAACAACTATGTTAATCAGAGACTTATTTTATTACGTAAATTAAATAGTTATATTCCGATTGACCTGCAACTGCTCTTATATGGTAATGACAATCTATCTGCAAATGATAATTTTAGAATAAGTCAAGTCACTCAACAGTATATTATAGACTCTAATATATTTTGATTTCCTTCTCTTTCTTATATACTTTTTTACCCCGTTTATTTATAATATTGTTGGTAAAACCAGCATATATTACCGTAGATATATAATTATAATTAATGTACATAAACATAATTATTGGTCTCTCCCGCAATGTATGGCACCAAGGGTGTGTATTCAAAAGGATTCGAAATGAAGAGGAGAAAGCACTTGAGCACGGGACGTGATGAACATTAGAAAAGTTAGAAAGCAATGTACAGTGAACAGTTCATGGTGTTGTCCTCGTCTGGGAGAGACCATATTAACTATATTATCTTTATCTTTATAAACGTCAGGTTACAATTGTGCTGTTAGCTAGCTCTCTCTCTCTTCTCTGATACATTTGTCACTTAAATATGCCACCTTGTATATTTGTTTGTACAATAGTTTTTCAGGAAAGGGCTTAATATAAGTTGTTCAACTTATGCCCAATCCCGATGTATATATTGATACAATAAAATATTTTTAAATCAAAATATTTCAAATTTCTATTTTGTCTTCAGGGACTTCTGCAGATTAGTGTTTACTAGCAAACAAAACATTCGGATTACTTCGCCGTAATGATAGTACGGGCATGAGAAAAGTCAGAGGTGTTCCGATGGCTGTCTGAAATAACCTTAATTATCATGTTGTCATCTTTTAGTGAGTAAACGGTGTTAATTTTTTTAGGAAAAGAAATGTATACTTATATCATTAAAAAAATCAAAGACTTGAAAAATAGCCGAAGAATCTTCATTCATTTCCTTACAACTAATGCAGTAATGAAATACTCATATAGTGACACTATAGTTGTATGTGATTACAAATTCTATAATGTCGGCGCGTTTTATTTTTAATGGTATAAGCGTTGTAAAAATTTAATGGCGACCGTTTGGTTTCACTAAGGACGCTAAGATGTCAAGAACTTCGAAACGACCTTCTTCTGCCAGAAGAAACATAAGGATTGAAACATTTTCACCTTTCGTTAGGTTTGTTATGAAAGAATACCGCCAATTTTACTTAAAGTTGCATTAAGATTGAATTCATCGTTGGGCATTTCGCTGTTTTCAGTTCAAGATTAAGTGCAAAGCTTTATAGATTATTTTTTTGCAGCAGTTATCAAACAAGTTAAAATGATTTTCATAGACAATCTTGTTGATCTAGATAGGAACGCCAGGTGAGTATGTTTGATAATTTTGTGATGGTTATATTTTCGGTTCTTTCGTACTCTGAGGACGTTTCGGTATCGAGGTTTTTCAGTTTTTCGGTTACTGACTGTACCCGGTACATTAACACTTCGGTTCGGTATGGTATTTGCTGTTATTATTTTAGAGGTTCTCATTCCTCAAATAGTAGATGATACAAAGTCATTGCTGTCGTGAAAAATATTCAGTGAATTAGCCTTTACACATTTTATTTTCACATTGTTTATAAGTTAAAACTTAAGCTCAGCTTAAGAGCTTTAACCAAGAAGAGAACACCGTCACAAAGTCAAGACTGTCTCATTTGTTAGCAAATTCAGAAACTGGGAAATCATAACCAAAATAGGTGAAGAAACCAGTTAAATATGTCAATTCAAGAAATATGGTGTTTGATATAGGGCACACTCAGTCATAAAATACTAAGATGTCTTGGGCATCCCCAACCTTTTGATTCTATTGCGCTTATAAAAAATTCTTGTGTTCTGTCAAGCAAAGAATACAATGTTGATCTTCTCAAAAATGTCCAATGGAGAATAGCTGACTTTAAAAGTCTTCCGTGATACTGAAAATTGAAAGAAATTCAAGATGATACTCCCAGAAAATAAAAACTAACCATTAATCGCCATTTGGACTTAAGAAAACATTTCTTTAGTTTGGAACTGTGAATGTAATGATGGAGCAACTTGCCCCTGCATGTTATTGATGCTTTAATAGAAAGGAAATCTTTTTAGTTGAAAATCACAAGATTAATTGTAACTAGTGCTTGACGTATATGAAATCACTACCAAATCATTAACATGAAATGTACATTACTGATACACCAAGTTAAAGTTTGGAATAGCTAAAGTAATAAATGATAATTATGTGATATTGTTGTGATTGATATGGATAAAGAGGCTTGAGACTTTATAATTAAATGTAGTAAATCATAAACCCGGCATGGTCAGGCAAGTGATACTTTTTCATGTGGGATCAGAGATTCAAACCTTGGTCAGCTAGATGTAAGACCAATTGGGTGTCTACTGAATGTGAACTATGAAGAAAGTTCATTGTACCAGTGTAATTTATTTTTGTGATGCATGCTTTTGTTTTAGTGCCACACGACTGAGAAATGTACAGAATTTGTTACAAGAAGAAACTAGCCATGCTGACAAACCAGACACCATTTTGTGTATAGCAGGTATATATAAATCAACAAAATGTCAGTGCTTGGCGAGGTGGGACACAGGCACCATGTCATAGGCAAATATTGATTATACATGCAGACCATGAACATGAATATAATAATTGTGGTTTTTAAAGGATTTGCATATTCTGGTAGTTGGTGTGAACTCTAGACTCGGGCTTATTTGTCAAAATTTCAAAGATTAAAACTGAATGAAAACAAAATTACAGGTATATATTATGTGATAACAGTGGGAACTGGAATCATAGATAATCATAAAAGCCAAAACAAAATATAAGACTAATGATGAATTATATTTGGCCCATCAAATATTTTCAGGAATTGACAGTAGATACAGTGATGGCAGTATGGAACTGTTTAACTATCTTCTTTTTGGCTTTTTTGAAACAAGAAAGGCAGAGCTGGAAAAGTAAGTGAAACCAGATTGTTAGGAAATATGTATCAGTAATGGAGTTGATGAGATATAATATGATGTAGATCATATCATGTAATAACATGAAAAATAAGCATTTGACTTAAATGTAAAGTGGTCACCACCTGACTATTATTTGATGATACCATTGATCAGGTATTTCAGCCAGAAAACAGGATCAGTATTTTATGTTTGTGAAACTGGAACTGCACTTTGTTTTTCAGATCTGGTTTTGAAGAGGAGGTAATAGATGGTAAGTAATAATTGCCCCATTTAAGTGTAAAATGTATACTCTCTATCATCATAATGTATCCTGTTCACAGCTGACCATGTATACATAGTAGAACTGAAGATATTCTATGTCTTTATGATATACATATGATTTCAGCCCAAAGGACATCTTGTTTTGATAAATCTATTTTGAATATGTTGTGTACTGTTGTGTCCAAATTTTTATTTGCTCCCTACTTTGTGAAGAAGATGTGTTGATGTTTACAGATGTGGTGTTTGTGATTCGCCGGTATGAGGTAGATATCTACTGTAATCCTATCAACTACCATTATTTCCTTCCCTACGTCAGTCATTGGAGAAATGTCCGTTTCCACTGTGTCACAGAAAAGCAGGTAAAGTATTGTTGTGTGTATTTAGCATGGCAAACATAAGGTTGACCTAGGTGTGGTATGTTTCTATCACAAAATCCAAATAAACCATGAAAGATAAAATACTTATTGACCCTACTGATTATTTCTTACTGTAAGCAAATGTTACATATGTAAAATATTTATATTGCTTCATATACATGTATATGGCATATTGTTACATGTATGATATGGTATATTGTTACATGTATATGGCATATTGTTACATGTATATGGTATATTGTTACGTGTATGATATGGTATATTGTTACATGTATATGGTATATTGTTACGTGTATGATATGGTTACATGTATATGGTATATTGTTACGTGTATGATATGGTATATTGTTACATGTATATGGCATATTGTTACGTGTATATGGTATATTGTTACATGTATATGGTATATTGTTACATGTATGATATGGTATATTGTTACATGTATATGGTATATTGTTACATGTATGATATATATTGTTACATGTATATGGTATATTGTTACATGTATATGGTATATTGTTACGTGTATGATATGGTATATTGTTACATGTATATGGTATATTGTTACGTGTATGATATGGTATATTGTTACATGTATATGGTATATTGTTACATGTATATGGTATATTGTTACGTGTATGATATGGTATATTGTTACATGTATATGGTATATTGTTACATGTGGTTACATGTATATGGTATATTGTTACATGTATGGTATATTGTTACATGTATATGGTATATTGTTACATGTATATGGTATATTGTTACATGTATGATATGGTATATTGTTACATGTATATGGTATATTGTTACATGTATATGGTATATTGTTACATATGTATCATTTATTGTTATTTTTTTATTATATATTGCATATTTTTGTATGTTTTGCAGTATGAAGATGAAGAAGAGTCTGGTGATTTTAAAATCCGGTCATTTATTGAAATGGTGGGGGATAGCAAAAGAATAGGAATACCATTCTGTATTTCAGGTTAGTTATGAAAAATGTTAAAGTGATAATATAAAGTAAATTAAGGCAAACCTGCGGCCAGCTCAAATAGGCGGGTAGTTTGAACACATGATTTTTTTCAATACAAACAATGATTTTCTGTGATAGTTTTAACCCTTTGTAGTTTGTTTCACTTGCATTTTTTTCAATACAAACAATGATTTTCTGTGATAGTTTTAACCCTTTGTAGTTTGTTTCACTTGCATTTCGAATTGTTCGAATATATCATAAGACTTCCCATCTTACTAATGATAAAAGCATAGGCAGTAATCGCTCCATATTGTCACTATTCACATCTACGTTAAACACTGTGGGTAGCAGGCTGTATATGACCATCCTAAGCAATCCATAGTGTCAGATTATACACATACATGTCACTTGATTAGAATAAATTAAATATTTACAGACCATGGCATGTCAACATGTGTTCTGTCAAAGAACAACATTGTTACACTTCACATTTTAATTAGATCATCCCATCAAGATTGTCCCAATAATTGTAAGATTAATAAAAAAGTTAACAAGCATTAATCCATAGTTATATTAAGCCTCAATCAACACTCTGCGTACCAATGTGTCAACGCTAACTGCCACCAATACACAAGCAGAAATGTGCGTTTTATAGGCTGATTTTGTCAGGGTATCCAAAGTTATGATGATCAAAATGAAACCTGCGATTTCTTGACAGTCGATTGTTGTAGACTGGTAGTTTCCTGCTAGGACACATTAAGACACTTTGTTGTGCTTTTGAACAATGTCAACCCTGAGAGTTTGATTTATTCTTATGAGCATAATTTGAACAGGTTCAACAATTTTTGATTCATTTTGTTCAAACCAACCGAAGTTTACTGTAAGACTCATTTTAAGATGTGCAGGTAATCTTTCATGACATGTTATCACAAAATAATTCAGTCTTCTTATCAATATATCTTTCAATTAAGTACATTGTATATCTGTTTTTGAAAAAATATTTTGTAATTGTGTATTTTTCCATCTTGTTATGCATTATGAATTAAAGCGATGTTGAGATGATGAATGCTGTTTGATGATGATACGGATGTTGAGATGATGAATGCTGTTTGATGATGATACGGATGTTGAAATGTTTGATGATGATACGGATGTTGAAATGATGAATGATGCTTGATGATGATACGGATGTTGAGATGATAAATGATGTTTGATGATGATATGGATGTTGAGATAATGAATGATGTTTGATGATGATATGGATGTTGAGATGATAAATGATGTTTGATGATGATATGGATGTTGAGATGATAAATGATGTTTGATGATGATACGGATGTTGAGATAATGAATGATGTTTGATGATGATACTGATGTTGAGATGATAAATGATGTTTGATGATGATACGGATGTTGAAATGATGAATGATGTTTGATGATGATACGGATGTTGAGATGATGAATGCTGTTTGATGATGATATGGATGTTGAGATGATGAATGATGCTTGATGATGATACGGATGTTGAAATGATGAATGATGTTTGATGATGATATGGATGTTGAGATAATGAATGATGTTTGATGATGATACGGATGTTGAAATGATAAATGATGTTTGATGATGATATGATGTTTAATGATGATGTTTGATATGATACGGATGTTGATGTAAATGATGTTTGATGATGATACGGATGATAATGAATGATGTTTGATGATGATACGGATGTTGAGATAAATGATGTTTGAATGATGGACGTGAAATGATGAATGATGCTTGATGATGATACGAATGTTGAGATAATGAATGATGTTTGATGATGATACGAATGTTGAGATAATGAATGATGTTTGATGATGATACGGATGTTGAGATAATGAATGATGTTTGATGATGATACGGATGTTGAGATGATAAATGATGTTTGATGATGATACGGATGTTGAAATGATGAATGATGCTTGATGATGATACGAATGTTGAGATAATGAATGATGTTTGATGATGATATGGATGTTGAGATAATGAATGATGACCCTGTCTGTGTGTGTTTTTCTAGATGACCTACCTACATGTTGATTTTGTAGTTCATTATTATTGCTGGAACTAACTACATTTTATACTTTCTATTGAATGTGTTAATTTACTTGTCCCAGGACACAAGCAAAAGTTTGACAAGATGTTAGTGGAAAAGTGGCCAATTGTGCAGGCTTATGCTCTTGATGACTTTGGAGGGTAACACTTTATTTACATACTTACCTATCCATTTGTAACTGTGCTTCCTAAATATTTTGTGTTGTGATCCAAAAATATTGTTGTAAATTATATGTCATTGTGATAAAGTCTTCAACTAGTGGTACACATGTAATTAATCAATGGAGTATGATGTTTGGTCATTGACTTAAACATTGTAAGGACTACCAGTGTTTGTAATAAGACATACATTCCACTAATCTTTTGTTTAGGGCTTGTAGATTTCATACTTATTAAATAAGGAAAAATTGATTTGTTGGACTTATCCAACTTTACCTGGAGTACAATATTTTTAATAGCTATGTAGTCTTCTCCAGATTATTACCATATTTGTTATATAAAGTTATATTTAATCCTTGGTATGGTTTATGAAGAACACTTTAATTATCTTTTTTTCTGTAATGTGTTGTATATAAGTATATCTCTCTTGTTTTGAGAGCAAGGTAACATTTTCCGAATAAAATAATTTGAACTGAAATTGTCTTCTTTTTCAGAAAAGGATTTTTCACGCTGTCACATGAGGTAATACAGTTTTAAAGCTTGATTTTTGCACAAACAGAACATTTATATAGAGTGACGAGCCAGACATTGTCATGTGTCTAAATCTCAAAAATATAACATTACTGATGAAAATTCAGACGGATGTCTTGTTGATAAAATACTGGACAGGTTTTATTTTTGTAATGAGGATGATAACGGTTGTTTATGTTTGGTATGGTGATTGAAATATCAAAGATTAGAACATATATACACTGTAAGACTCCAACAGAATAGCACAAACACTTTAATTATTGTTTATTTATGATTATGTTTGTTGTACTACAGGTGGTAGATGTAAGTGCAGATCTACACTTACTGTACAGAGAGATGGATCCTGTATCACTAGAAAATGTTATCACTGAGGTCAGTGTTTTTTCCCATACATAACACCTTACCTCCCATAACCTCCCAATACCTTCACCTTTCCATCTCCCATCCTAACCTCAATTTCCCCATACTCACACTTTCTAATCCTCCTATCCCTATCTCCCACCACCCACTCACTATCCCCTATACTTCCCATCCTGTCCCTCTGTTATCCCACTTCCTTAAGATTCCATGTTTGAACCTGTCCGACTTGATGGAAATCTGTGACGTACAGATTAATTATCTCTTAATTAAATAAATGTAGCAGCAGTAATTAGTAAATAGTCTGTAAATTAACTTTATCTCTCTCTTTGTGTGGCATGTTGTAAACAACACCTTGACAGGTTTTAGGCTTCCAATAAGAAGATCATATATGTTGCCAGGAAAGATTGAAAATTAGTTAATAGTTAAATGTTTAGAAAGGAGTCCCTTCTGTATGCTGATTACCTGACTGTTTAGAACAACGAGTTTTGTTGTAGTTCTGGAGAACAAAAGAAGTTGTTTATAATGCTGTTGGTTTCTTTTTCAGCAACTGCCTCTGTTAGAGAGACAGTGGACCAATATGATCGATACTGTCAATGCAGACCTGTAAGTAGAGTTATCTCCCTTGCTCCATCTTCAGGTATAATTGTTAAAGGACTTGTCAATTACATTGGTGATGACAGCTTCTTTAACTCATTTCCGCTTTTCACAAATTGATTATTTGATAATTAAATATATAAAACATTACAGTTGACCGATTGAATTGTGATGATAGATGTGATGATTGTAGATGACCAATAACTTACCCTTGAAAATGATCATGGAGGGTTGGTAAAATGATTTAGAAGATAATTGTAAATGATCAATGAAATAGTTTGTATTTGAATGTAAGTGACAGATGAAATGATTTTGTAGATGACTGACATGGTAATTATTTACTAGACAATTGTAGATCACAATGTGATGATTTGATATATTGTTTTAGATGTCTTCTGTCAGGTACAAACATATCATTTGATGCCATCCTATATAACATGAAGTGTGAATGTACAGGATATAATAGCCAGCTCCACAGTCAATGTAATGAGTAGTTTCTATCGCCAATGTACCTATTCCCGATTTCGGCAAACCTCTATTTTATCAATAAAACTCACTAATCTACCAAATACGATTGTAATAACATATCTCAGACACAGTTTTATTTTATATGCGTAGACAAACTGTACTGTAACATCAAAATATCTCAGGCAGTTTTTATTGAGCTTTGAAATAAAACAAACCTATGTCTAATATGCTGATGATAACATCTTCTCTGTTTCCATCCTTTCAGCATCTATTATCAGGCAAATAACAATGCACTCTATTGATTCCACACACTGGAAATGCCCATAGCTAGTGAAATCAGAAAATTACTATAATTATTTTTGAGAGAAAACTTTGGTTTTTGATATAACTTGAAAGACAGTGATAGGACAAAATAGAGATAAATCAAAGAGATAAGTATATCATAATTTTCCTTTGCTGAAAAATATTGATTTATCTAAAATTTCTCTATCAAATCTGATTTATTAGTTCTATACAGCACAATGGTATTTGTTACTTGTCCTTTTGTTTCAGATCTAAAGATCCTAAAGTGATTACAGAAGAAAAGATTTGTGAGGTAAATCAGAATGAAGTAGAAAATCATTCATGCCACATAAGAAATGGTAAATTCCATGTTAGCTCACCTGGCCCAAAGGACCGGTGAGTTTATGCTATGTTGCAAGCATCCATTGTCTACAAATAGCTACTTTTCATGAACAACTGAGCCAATTTTAACCAAAGTTGGTCAGAATCAACCTTCCGGGAAGCAGAAAAAATTTTGTATACACGGTAAAGGAAAATGTTGCAAGTTCCTTCTGTATGAGAAATTGGATTTTGACCAAATGTTGTCTGAAGCATTCTTTGGTGAAGGGAAATCAATTTTGTGAGTGTTAGGTTTTGGCCCCCTGGGGTCTGAGACACTGACTTCCTCATCAGTTGTGTCTGATTTGTTCAGAAGTTCAGGTCAAATAATAAACTTTAACCTTTAACCTGAAGGATGTGTTCTTATCTCCCTTACATAAGAAATTAGAGTCTCAATAGTTTTTGAAGGGTCAGAGTATCCCAACAAAACAGAAATAAGGGAAATAGAATGAGATTCTTTAAAATCCTACTCCTGTAGGAATGATTAAGTTTTGCCCAAAAGTCTGACACATTCTTGGGTGAAGGGAATCAATGTTATATAAATGGTGGGTCTTGGCCCCTTCAGGCAGGAGCAGGGCTCTCCTGTAGAAATATTTGGATTTTGTCCAAATTTAGGCTGAAGCATTCTTAGGTGAAGTGGAATAAATTCTGTGTAAACAGTTGGTCTCTGCCCCCAGGAGCAAGAGTTGCAGGTCCCTAAAGGGGAAGCAGAGCAAATTCTTAGTAATCCTTCTTCTGCTGGAATGGTTTGGATTTTGCCAAAGTTTGGTCTGAAGTACTCTTGGGTGAAGGGGATTCATTTTGTATAAACAATGGATCTTGACCATCTGGGGTGGGAGGAGCAGGACCCATTAAAGAGGAAATATCATAAATTCTTTAAAATCCTTTTTCTGTAGGAATTTCAGGATTCTGTCTCAATTTAGCCTGAAACATAAATGGTTGGGTTCACCTAGGTATGGAGGTTTGGGTCCAATGGGAAAATAGACATATTGGATGTTGTGTGTTTGGATGTTTAGAATTCCATTATAGGTTTGATGAAGCAATTTCAGACATGCAAAGCCAGTTGATTGATACAGGCCTTATTACCATTACACAGTCTAGAGGGGATTGCCTGAGGAGTTTATCATAACACTAATGACTGTTTACACCTTATTTATACTTTTAGTACCACGATGTTTACCTAACTTAGTATTTATTGCAAATCATTTAACATGTTATATTCTGAAGTAATTGTAGTAATCCTCGTAGGACATTTTACAAATCTGACTTTGTTTTTAATCTTCATATCATACCTAGGTAATAAACTCTCTCTATAGTAAATATTAAAATCATATCTATATTAATGTATTTATAAACCCTAGGAAAAAGGGCTTCTCACATAAACTGAATAATTACATACATTATTGAATACGGACCTTTGTTTACCTTTGGGAGTAAATCTCTTTCATCGGTAGATCAAGCATTAAACAAAACCTTTGATATAGTTGCATTATTTCTACACAAAAAATTCCTGGTTGGAAAGTTCTCTATTAATTTCCTAGAGTACAGACCTAATTTGATACAGATGATCTATTTCTGTTGTCAAATATCCCTGGGCTATACTTTAGATCTACGATCAAATAAACGATCAAATGTCAATTCCTTTAAATTATGGAGCTCTGTCATGCATTACGACAGAAGAGTCATGATTCTCTCAAGTTGTGAGCAGTTTCACATCAGAAGAAGACATAAATTTGTGATACATTTTTGAAGGAGAATTTAATAACATAATATCCCCTCGACAAATATTTCAGATAAAGATATGCCATAAGTTTATGATATTTTTTATTGAAAAATTAAATGTGTCCCTTTCGAAGTCTATATTATTAAAGACCCAAGGGACCCCACACTAATAAAATTATTCATTGATCTTCCTGTCTGAAGTTCTTCTGTTACATTACCGTTCCTGCTACCCAGTATACTGTATACTGCTGTATTTAAGTCTAATACAATCTATGTTTTATATGTATATGTTGGTCATAAAAACACTGTAGGCAATATCCTTTGAGCATTTAGGACTCTGTTAAGTAAAATTTCATATTAACTAGTTACATGTTGCCTATTTAATTTGAATAATTGACTCTGAAATAGCAATTGTTGTGTTTTAACATATCTAATGAATACCTATCCTTGTTTTAGCCACTGAAGAGTTACTTTTTACATGGTATTGTGGGTGCTGGCTCTACCAACAGAAGGTAATGTTAAGATGTTACTTTGACAGTCATGGTCACATGGTCAGTAACAATATAATCCACTTCATTCCACATGATCAGTAACAGTATAATCCACTTCATTCCACATGGTCAGTAACAGTATAATCCACTTCAGTCCACATGGTCAGTAACAATATAATCCACTTCATTCCACATGGTCAGTAACAGTTTATCATCCACTTCAGTCCACATGGTCAGTAACAGATTATAATCCACTTCAGTCCACATGGTCAGTAACAGATTATAATCCACTTCAGTCCACATGGTCAGTAAAAGATTATCATCCACTTCAGTCCACATGGTCAGTAACAGATTATAATCCACTTCAGTCCACATGGTTAGTAACAGATTATAATCCACTTCAGTCCACATGATCAGTAACAGTATAATCCACTTCAGTCCACATGGTCAGTAACAGTTTATCATCCACTTCAGTCCACATGGTCAGTAACAGATTATAATCCACTTCAGTCCACATGGTCAGTAACAGATTATAATCCACTTCAGTCCACATGGTCAGTAACAGATTATAATCCACTTCAGTCCACATGGTCAGTAACAGATTATAATCCACTTCAGTCCACATGGTCAGTAACAGTTTATAATCCACTTCAGTCCACATGGTCAGTAACAGTTTAATCCACTTCAGTCCACATGGTCAGTAACAGTTTATAATCCACTTCAGTCCACATGGTCAGTAACAGTTTATAATTCACTTCAGTCCACATGGTCAGTAACAGTTTATAATCCACTTCAGTCCACATGGTCAGTAACAGATTATAATCCACTTCAGTCCACATGGTCAGTAACATTTTATAATCCACTTCAGTCCACATGGTCAGTAACAGATTATAATCCACTTCAGTCCACATGGTCAGTAACAGTTTATAATCCACTTCAGTCCACATGGTCAGTAACAGATTATAATCCACTTCAGTCCACATGGTCAGTAACAGTTTAATCCACTTCAGTCCACATGGTCAGTTACTGATTGCAAATTACTGATTATTGCTTAAATATTGTCAAACTCTTACACAAATTTGCAAAGTTACTGTTGTACTGATGTTGTTTAGAGTCAAAAGGAATCCCCTACATAATTACTAATGTACTAATGTTTATTAGAGTCAGAAGGAATCCCCTACATAGTTACTGATGTTTATTAGAGTCAGAAGGAATCCCCTACATAGTTACTGATGTTTATTAGAGTCAGAAGGAATCCCCTACATAGTTACTGATGTACTGATGTTTATTAGAGTCAGAAGGAATCCCCTACATAGTTACTGATGTTTATTAGAGTCAGAAGGAATCCCCTACGTAGTTACTGATGTTTATTAGAGTCAGAAGGAATCCCCTACATAGTCACTGATGTTTATTAGAGTCAGAAGGAATCCCCTACATAGTTACTGATGTACTGATGTTTATTAGAGTCAGAAGGAATCCCCTACATAGTTACTGATGTACTGATGTTTATTAGAGTCAGAAGGAATCCCCTACATAGTTACTGATGTACTGATGTTTATTAGAGTCAGAAGGAATCCCCTACATAGTTACTGATGTTTATTAGAGTCAGAAGGAATCCCCTACATAGTTACTGATGTTTATTAGAGTCAGAAGGAATCCCCTACATAGTCACTGATGTTTATTAGAGTCAGAAGGAATCCCCTACATAGTTACTGATGTACTGATGTTTATTAGAGTCAGAAGGAATCCCCTACATAGTTACTGATGTACTGATGTTTATTAGAGTCAGAAGGAATCCCCTACATAGTTACTGATGTACTGATGTTTATTAGAGTCAGAAGGAATCCCCTACATAGTTACTGATGTTTATTAGAGTCAGAAGGAATCCCCTACATAGTTACTGATGTTTATTAGAGTCAGAAGGAATCCCCTACATAGTTACTGATGTTTATTAGAGTCAGAAGGAATCCCCTACATAGTTACTGATGTTTATTAGAGTCAGAAGGAATCCCCTACATATGTTTATTAGAGTCAGAAGGAATCCCCTACTGATGTTTATTAGAGTCAGAAGGAATCCCCTACATAGTTACTGATGTTTATTAGAGTCAGAAGGAATCCCCTACATAGTTACTGATGTTTATTAGAGTCAGAAGGAATCCCCTACATAGTTACTGATGTTTATTAGAGTCAGAAGGAATCCCCTACATAGTCACTGATGTTTATTAGAGTCAGAAGGAATCCCCTACATAGTCACTGATGTTTATTAGAGTCAGAAGGAATCCCCTACATAGTTTGATGTTTATTAGAGTCAGAAGGAATCCCCTACATAGTCACTGATGTTTATTAGAGTCAGAAGGAATCCCCTACATAGTTACTGATGTTTATTAGAGTCAGAAGGAATCCCCTACATAGTTACTGATGTTTATTAGAGTCAGAAGGAATCCCCTACATAGAGTCAGAAGGAATCCCCTACATAGTTACTGATGTTTATTAGAGTCAGAAGGAATCCCCTACATAGTTACTGATGTTTATTAGAGTCAGAAGGAATCCCCTACATAGTTACTGATGTTTATTAGAGTCAGAAGGAATCCCCTACATAGACTGTGTTTATTAGAGTCAGAAGGAATCAGTTACTGATGTACTGATGTTTATTAGAGGAATCCCCTACATAGTTACTGATGTTTATTAGAGTCAGAAGGAATCCCCTACATAGTTACTGATGTTTATTAGAGTCAGAAGGAATCCCCTACATAGTTACTGATGTTTATTAGAGTCAGAAGGAATCCCCTACATAGTTACTGATGTTTATTAGAGTCAGTTACTGATGTTTATTAGAATCCCCTACATAGTTACTGATGTTTATTAGAGTCAGAAGGAATCCCCTACATAGTTACTGATGTTTATTAGAGTCAGAAGGAATCCCCTACATAGTTACTGATGTTTATTAGAGTCACTGATGTTTATTAGAGTCAGAAGGAATCCCCTACATAGTCACTGATGTTTATTAGAGTCAGAAGGAATCCCCTACATAGTCACTGATGTTTATTAGAGTCAGAAGGAATCCCCTACATAGTCACTGATGTTTATTAGAGTCAGAAGGAATCCCCTACATAGTCACTGATGTTTAGTCACTGATGTTTATTAGAGTCAGAAGGAATCCCCTACATAGTCACTGATGTTTATTAGAGTCAGAAGGAATCCCCTACATAGTTACTGATGTTTATTAGAGTCAGAAGGAATCCCCTACATAGTTACTGATGTTTATTAGAGTCCCCTACATAGTTACTGATGTTTATTAGAGTCAAAGGAATCCCCTACATAGTTACTGATGTTTATTAGAGTCAGAAGGAATCCCCTACATAGTTACTGATGTTTATTAGAGTCAGAAGGAATCCCCTACATAGTTACTGATGTTTGATGTTTATTAGAGTCAGAAGGAATCCCCTACATAGTCACTGATGTTTATTAGAGTCAGAAGGAATCCCCTTATTTTAGAGTCAGAAGATGTTTATTAGAGTCAGAAGGAATCCCCTACATAGTCACTGATGTTTATTAGAGTCAGAAGGAATCCCCTACATAGTCACTGATGTTTATTAGAGTCAGAAGGAATCCCCTACATAGTCACTGATGTTTATTAGAGTCAGAAGGAATCCCCTACATAGTCACTGATGTTTATTAGAGTCAGAAGGAATCCCCTACATAGTCACTGATGTTTATTAGAGTCAGAAGGAATCCCCTACATAGTTACTGATGTTTATTAGAGTCAGAAGGAATCCCCTACATAGTTACTGATGTTTATTAGAGTCAGAAGGAATCCCCTACATAGTTACTGATGTTTATTAGAGTCAGAAGGAATCCCCTACATAGTTACTGATGTTTATTAGAGTCAGAAGGAATCCCCTACATAGTTACTGATGTTTATTAGAGTCAGAAGGAATCCCCTACATAGTTACTGATGTTTATTAGAGTCAGAAGGAATCCCCTACAAAGTCACTGATGTTTATTAGAGTCAGAAGGAATCCCCTACATAGTCACTGATGTTTATTAGAGTCAGAAGGAATCCCCTACATAGTCACTGATGTTTATTAGAGTCAGAAGGAATCCCCTACATAGTTACTGTTGTACAAATTGTACTAATTTTTGTTACAGTCACATGGAGGTTCCCTTTGTTGTCTTTGGAACAAACACCAAAAAGTCTGTTTTGGACAGTTTGGAGGATGGAGGGAAAACTGAGAAGAATCAAATCCATTCCACTGGCATAGGCAAAAACCCTGCTAGATTTATGGCAAGTAGACTTTCTATGGGAAACACTGATGTTTTAGGAATTATTATTAGATATAATCATCCCAAAGAATATCACAGGTAGCTTTGTCTAGGTTTTTGATAACATTCCTAGATCTTGGTACTCTCAGTAGGACAGATGATAAAGAACCATTGATGATACACATCTTTTACAGAGGACAGTCAAGTAAGGACAACAGATTGTAAAGACCTTTCCTCACAATTTCTATGAGCACCTTTGTGTTTTTTTAATCAATGACCTACAACCATTGGGTATCATTTGTCGTCGTGTGCCATTCCTGTGGGATTGAGCTGAAACTTAGCTGAAATGACCCAGAGATAGTCTTAACCAAGCAATGTTTTGTCTTTTTTGAAATCCAACAGGACTACCAAATTCTATGCTTCTTCTTATGATCCACTATTGTCATTGAGCAGAAAACGGCTTTGTCTAAAGTTCAATATGGCTGTTATGGTGGCTACTTTGTAACATGATACACTATCATGGTCTCTTGGAATGATACCTATTTAAAACTTCTCCAATTCTACTAGTGGGATTGAACCAAAACTTGCATGAAATGATCCTGAGATGGTCTTGACCAAATAATGTTATTTTTCAAGTTGGTTCGTAATCAAATTTGGCCGCTATGAACACCATTTTTAAAAGATAACATTGTAAACTTCTCAAGTTCCACCAGTTGGATTTAGCTGACACTTACTGGAAATAATCCTGACCAAGGGTTGTTAGTTTTTGGGTCGGTCCAAGATCCAATGTGACTGCCACAGGCACCATTATGACAAACAAATTTTAAACTGCTTAAGTTCACAGATGACATTGAACTGAAAATTGGTGGGAATGGTAAGGAAGGGAAGCCGACGAAGCTTGTTTTCCTGTCACATCCAAAGTTCATTTTGACAGCCATAATGACCATTTGTAACAATATTACATAATCATGGTTTCCTTGAACATTACCTCCTATTTGAAACTTCTTCTCCAATGGGATTGACCTGAAATCCTGAGATTGTCCTGACCAAGTGTTATTATCTTTTATTTTTGGCCAAAATCCAATTGGCCATCATGGCTACTATCTTGAAATACATACTTCTTTTTCAAGTTCCCTGGTGACATTAAACTGACAATTTAGGGAACTCAAGAAAGTATTATTTTTTGGGTTTGTCAGCTATGCAATATGGCAGACACAGCTATACAGATGTTTCCCCACAATTTGTGTGAATGTATTTATGTTTTATTTTACAGATGTGTAAAGGCACTTCTCCACAGTCTACTCTGAGTTGTACCCGGACCTACTTCTTTACCAATCTGTCGGATCCATTTCAGGGTAGGAAAAACTAACCACTAGTTACATTTGTCACAAATAGATCCGGTGTTATAAACGTGTTGACTGGTATAACTGTAGATATCACAGTTTTTCACTATACGTTGTACATGGAGGCATTTAGGTAAAGCAAGTTGAGACCTTATTTTAAAAGTAGGTCTGTTGGATACAAACAAAGACAGAGTAGGCTACAGGTTAGCTTTCGAAAGCTCACTAAGGTTGTCTTAAAATACTACACTTTTTTGTATAGCATTTTAATTTTTAGCCCACTATCATCAGATTGTGTGGTCCGTGGTCCTTTGTCCATCCTTCTGTCTGTCGTGCGTCCCTCCATCCATCCATAAACAATTTTTGCTATCTTGAGAAGTACCGAATGAATCTTTCTAAAATTTCATATGTAGGTTCCTTTTGGTCCCTATTTGTGCCTGTTTGAAGGGCCATCTTGGATTTTGACTTTGCAAGTTTGTCAGCGCTCTTTCTTGAGAACTACTAAACAGATCTTTCTAAAATTTCATATTTATATTCCTTTTTGTCCCTAGTTGTCCCCATCTAATTTTGGTACTGATCAGAAAAACGAAATGGCCAACAGGTGGCCATCTTGGAGATTCCTAGCATCTGTGATACTTTAGAGAGACTTTACAGAGGAGACAGAGATTCCCAGTGTCTGTGATACTCTTGGGAAACTTTACAGAGGAGAAAGATTCTTAGTATTTCTTTGATACTCAACTGAGAATTTACAGAGGACAGAGATTTTCAGCATCTTTGTGATTCTTTAGAGAGACTTTACAGAGGAGACAGAGATTTTCAGTATCTCTGTGATTCTGTAGAGAGACTTTACAGAGTAGACAGAGATTTTCAGTATCTCTGTGATTCTGTAGATAGACTTTACAGAGGAAACAGAGATTTTCAGTATCTCTGTGATACTCTGGAGTAGACAGATATTCCCAGTATCCCTGTGATACTCTGGAGTAGATAGATATTCCCAGTGATACTCTGGAGTAGACAGATATTCCCTGTTCTCTGTGATACTCTGGAGTAGACAGATATTCCCAGTGATACTCTGGAGTAGACAGATATTCCCAGTGATACTCTGGAGTAGACAGATATTCCCAGTGATACTCTGTGATACTCTGGAGTAGACAGATATTCCCTGTTCTCTGTGATACTCTGGAGTAGACAGATATTCCCAGTATCTCTGTGATACTCTGGAGTAGACAGATATTCCCAGTGATACTCTGGAGTAGACAGATATTCCCAGTATCTCTGTGATACTCTGGAGTAGACAGATATTCCCAGTGATACTCTGGAGTAGACAGATATTCCCAGTGATACTCTGGAGTAGACAGATATTCCCTGTGATACTCTGGAGTAGACAGATATTCCCAGTATCTCTGTGATACTCTGGAGTAGACAGATATTCCCAGTATCTCTGTGATACTCTGGAGTAGACAGATATTCCCAGTGATACTCTGGAGTAGACAGATATTCCCAGTGTGATACTCTGGAGTAGACAGATATTCCCAGTATCTCTGTGATTCTCTGGAGTAGACAGATATTTCCCTCTGGAGTAGACAGATATTCCCAGTGATACTCTGGAGTAGACAGATATTCCCAGTGATACTCTGGAGTAGACAGATATTCCCAGTGATACTCTGGAGTAGACAGATATTCCCAGTGATACTCTGGAGTAGACAGATATTCCCAGTGATACTCTGGAGTAGACAGATATTCCCAGTGATACTCTGGAGTAGACAGATATTCCAAGTGTGATACTCTGGAGTAGACAGATATTCCCAGTGATACTCTGGAGTAGACAGATATTCCCAGTGATACTCTGGAGTAGACAGATATTCCCAGTGATACTCTGGAGTAGACAGATATTCCCAGTATCTCTGTGATACTCTGGAGTAGACAGATATTCCCAGTGATACTCTGGAGTAGACAGATTCCCAGTGATACTCTGGAGTAGACAGATATTCCCAGTGATACTCTGGAGTAGACAGATAATCCCTGTTCTCTGTGATACACTGGAGTAGACAGATATTCCCAGTGATACTCTGGAGTAGATACTCTGGAGTAGACAGATATTCCCAGTGATACTCTGGAGTAGACAGATATTCCCAGTGATACTCTGGAGTAGACTCTGGAGATATTCCCAGTATCTCTGTGATACTCTGGAGTAGACAGATATTCCCAGTGTGATACTCTGGAGTAGACAGATATTCCCAGTATCTCTGTGATACTCTGGAGTAGACAGATATTCCCAGTATCTCTGTGATACTCTGGAGTAGACAGATATTCCCAGTGATACTCTGGAGTAGACAGATATTCCCAGTATCTCTGTGATACTCTGGAGTAGACAGATATTCCCAGTATCTCTGTGATACTCTGGAGTAGACAGATATTCCTCTGGAGTGATATTCTCTGTGATACTCTGGAGTAGACAGATATTCCCAGTGTGATACTCTGGAGTCTGGAGACAGATATTCCCTGTGATACTCTGGAGTAGACAGATATTCCCAGTGATACTCTGGAGTAGACAGATATTCCCAGTGATACTCTGGAGTAGACAGATATTCCCAGTATCTCTGTGATACTCTGGAGTAGACAGATATTCCCAGTGATACTCTGGAGTAGACAGATATTCCCAGTATCTCTGTGATACTCTGGAGTGATACTATTCCCAGTATACTCTGGAGTAGACAGATATTCCCAGTGATACTCTGGAGTAGACAGATATTCCCAGTATCTCTGTGATACTCTGGAGTAGACAGATATTCCCAGTGATACTCTGGAGTAGACAGATATTCCCAGTATCTCTGTGATACTCTGGAGTAGACAGATATTCCCAGTGATACTCTGGAGTAGACAGATATTCCCAGTGATACTCTGGAGTAGACAGATATTCCCAGTATCTCTGTGATACTCTGGAGTAGACAGATATTCCCAGTATCCCTGTGATACTCTGGAGTAGACAGATATTCCCAGTGATACTCTGGAGTAGACAGATATTCCCAGTGTCTCTGTGATACTCTGGAGTAGACAGATATTCCCAGTGATACTCTGGAGTAGACAGATATTCCCAGTGATACTCTGGAGTAGACAGATATTCCCAGTGATACTCTGGAGTAGACAGATATTCCCAGTGATACTCTGGAGTAGACAGATATTCCCAGTGTCTCTGTGATACTCTGGAGTAGACAGATATTCCCAGTGATACTCTGGAGTAGACAGGATAGACAGATATTCCCAGTGATACTCTGGAGTAGACAGATATTCCCAGTGATACTCTGGAGTAGACAGATATTCCCAGTGATACTCTGGAGTAGACAGATATTCCCAGTGATACTCTGGAGTAGACAGATATTCCCTGTGATACTCTGGAGTAGACAGATATTCCCAGTGATACTCTGGAGTAGACAGATATTCCCAGTGATACTCTGGAGTAGACAGATATTCCCTGTGATACTCTGGAGTAGACAGATATTCCCAGTATCTCTGTGATACTCTGGAGTAGACAGATATTCCCAGTGTCTCTGTGATACTCTGGAGTAGACAGATATTCCCAGTGATACTCTGGAGTAGACAGATATTCCCAGTGATACTCTGGAGTAGACAGATATTCCCAGTGATACTCTGGAGTAGATATTCCCAGTCTGGAGTAGACAGATATTCCCAGTGATACTCTGGAGTAGACAGATATTCCCAGTATCTCTGTGATACTCTGGAGTAGACAGATATTCCCAGTATCTCTGTGATACTCTGGAGTAGACAGATATTCCCAGTATCTCTGTGATACTCTGGAGTAGACAGATATTCCCAGTGATACTCTGGAGTAGACAGATATTCCCAGTGATACTCTGGAGTAGACAGATATTCCCAGTGATACTCTGGAGTAGACAGATATTCCCAGTGTGATACTCTGGAGTAGACAGATATTCCCAGTGATCTGGAGTAGACTATTCCCAGTGATACTCTGGAGTAGACAGATATTCCCAGTTCTCTGATACTCTGGAGTAGACAGATATTCCCAGTGATCTCTGGAGTAGTCTGTGATACTCTGGAGTAGACAGATATTCCCAGTGATACTCTGGAGTAGACAGATATTCCCAGTATCTCTGTGATACTCTGGAGTAGACAGATATTCCCTGTTCTCTGTGATACTCTGGAGTAGACAGATATTCCCAGTGATACTCTGGAGTAGACAGATATTCCCAGTGATACTCTGGAGTAGACAGATATTCCCAGTATCTCTGTGATACTCTGGAGTAGACAGATATTCCCTGTTCTCTGTGATACTCTGGAGTATATTCCCAGTGATACTGTGATACTCTGGAGTAGACAGATATTCCCAGTGTGATACTCTGGAGTAGACAGATATTCCCAGTGATACTCTGGAGTAGACAGATATTCCCAGTGATACTCTGGAGTAGACAGATATTCCCTGTGATACTCTGGAGTAGACAGATATATTCCCAGTGATACTCTGGAGTAGACAGATATTCCCAGTGATACTCTGGAGTAGACAGATATTCCCAGTATCTCTGTGATACTCTGGAGTAGACAGATATTCCCAGTATCTCTGTGATACTCTGGAGTAGACAGATATTCCCAGTATCTCTGTGATACTCTGGAGTAGACAGATATTCCCAGTATCTCTGTGATACTCTGGAGTAGACAGATATTCCCAGTGATACTCTGGAGTAGACAGATATTCCCAGTGATACTCTGGAGTAGACAGATATTCCCAGTGATACTCTGGAGTAGACAGCTATTCCCATTGATACTGTGTATTAGACCTCTATTCCCATTATCCCAGTGATACTCTGGAGTAGACAGATATTCCCAGTATCTCTGTGATACTCTGGAGTAGACAGATATTCCCAGTATCTCTGTGATACTCTGGAGTAGACAGATATTCCCAGTGTCTCTGTGATACTCTGGAGTAGACAGATATTCCAAGTATCTCTGTGATACTCTGGAGTAGACAGATATTCCCAGTA